ATATGTCAGTGTTTAACAACAGAGAAAGATCATGTATGCTCTGTGCTAAAAATAAAACATATTAACCCTTAAAAGATCAGAATTAGACGAGAAGATTGGACATAAACTTACGAGCAAGTGTGAGCGTCAGTAGAAAAACAAGAACAGACTTCATTTTCTCCTTCGTCCACTTAATACAGCAGTAGAATGAACTCGTATGAGAAGCTGCTTCTCCTTCATAGAACCATATAAAGTAGGAGGGAACAATCACAGGGCAATCTGATTGGCCCTTCATTATGAGGGTATTACTTTAAAACCACAGTGGAATTTTTTTTGACCGTCTTTCAAGCTAAAGCACATGAAACAATAGCAGCAGCAAGCTTCTGTTTCAAGTTTTCATGGTGGGTTTCTGTACCTGCTGCTGAGTGGAAACACACTAACTACAGTTTTCTTCATTTTTTTCCACTCTGTATAAAAGAAGTGTATGAACACTGAAGCCAACCAGTGAGCACAATGTTGGCATTTTTGCAAATACTACAATGGTTCTTTGGAACCAGAAGTGACCATATCTGGACCTGGATGTGGATACACATTAGTCCCTTACACACAGACACGCCCACTTCTGTGTTTGTGGTTTATTGTCCCTTTTGGAGTATTCTGTGAGGGTGTGTGGTCTTTGATGTGTGTGTGTTTGTGTATGTGTAAAGATGGCGGCCTGCTCAGACTCTGCGGCCTGGAGCTCTCCCATTAGATACCACCTGGATTTCCCAACAAAAGGAAATAAATCCTTTGACCATGTTTACTGCAACTTAGCAGGGGTTTACAAAGCGTCCCCCTCCCCCACATTGGCCGGTCTGACCACATCAGCCTGCTTGTGACCCCCATATACAGACCTCTCATCGTAAGGATTAAACATCACGCTTTGTACCATCGGGGCCTGAGGGAGCAATGCCCAGGCTACAGGACTGCTTCGATGAGACAGACTGGTACATCTTCAAACAAACTGCCACCAACAACAACCACACAGACTTAAACACCTTTGCCTTACCTCTGCTGCACTCAGCACCTTCTGCATGGGCAATATAACCACAGAGATGAACATACATGCACTCCCCAACCACAAACTGTGGATGAATGCAGCTATGGTTAACCTGTTGAAGGCTTGTGAAACTGCTTTCCGCACAGGTGGCCTACAGTACAGCCGGGTCCAGACTGAGGAAAGGCATCAGACAAGCGAAGCGCTGCTACAAAATGCGTATAGAGGAGCTCTGACTCCTGACGCATGTGGCATGGCATCAAGACCATAACAGGCTATGCAGGCAACAACAGCAGCCCAACACACACTGCCAACTCATCTCTCCCTGAGGACCTGAACCACGTCTTTGCCAGGTTTGATTGTAGAGACAATCTCAACAACCCATCACTGACACTGCAGGGGGACATGCCAGGTGGGCTGATGCTGAGCCCCTACTAGGTGAGACCGCCTCAGAACAACTTCATCCAGAACAAAGCCACTGATCGGGTTACAGGAAGGGCCCTGAAACACTGTGCAGGACAGCCAACAGCAGTGTTCACCAACCTATTTAACATCTCCCTGAAGCAGGCAACAGTCCCAACCTGCCTCAAGTTGGCCACAATTCCTCCAGTGCTAAAACAGACAGCAATCAGGTCACTGACTCATTGACCACTGGCGCTGACACCGGTTGTGATAAAGTTCTTTGAACGCCTTGTTCTGGTACACATCAAGAGCAACATGCCACTCTCCTTGGACAAACACCCACAACACAACTGAGGACGCAGTGTCACTGGTCCTCCCCACTGCACAGACACACTTTGATCAGCGGGATGCTGTTCATTCACTTCAGTTCAGCTCCGCTTTCAACCTAAACCACCCCCCACAACCTGGCCACAAAACTGATCCCGCTGGCATTAACACTCCTGTGCAGCTGGATCAATGTTTTCCTCACTGACAGGCCACAGACTGTGTCTATGGTAAAAGATGCACCCTAGGGTTCTGTACTGAGCCCTCTACTGTTCTCCCTCTACACACACGACTGCAGACCCTCCCACAAGAATACCTCCATCCTTAAGTTTGCAGACGACACCATCCTAGTTGGCTGAAACACCAACAACAATAAGTCAGCCTACAGAACAGAGGTTGAGAACTGGGAGGCGAGACAACAACCTGATCCTCAATGCGGTGAAGACGAAGGAGATTGTCCTCGACTTCAGGAGGCTGAAGCCCAACATTAACGGCAAGACAGTGGCGGTCGTGCACAGCTTCAAATACCTAAGTGCCCACGTCAGCCAGGACGCGACTTGGTCCATCAACACCTCAGCGATGGCCAAAAAGCTCTTCAGAGTCTCCACTTCCTGACATGCCTGAAGAAGGTGTGACTTCCAAATCAGCTGCTGGTGAACTTCTACATGTCAGACATAAAGAAGATAAAAAAGATCCAAACGATAACACGGGGGCATTAGCTTTAAATTCAAAATAAACAATACCAGACCACGCTGATAGGAATCAGCTCGCCTAGGCCACTTCCTACGCCTGCCGTCCGGTCTACACAGCACCTGACCCCCATGCCAATCCCTGAAGGTGGTGCGCCCACAGGGTGGCAGCTCCATGTTGTTTCTTCGGGTTGAACCCGATTGGGCCCCATGTAGGAAAGCCTGGCCACTAGACGCTTGCCGTCAGGCCCCCCAGGTCTGGCTCCAGTGAGGTGGCCCAGTCTCTCACTTCCAAGGTATCTGTGTTCCCCTTCTGTTGCTTCTTGGAGGTTTCTGAATCACTCTTTGTTTGGATCTCACCTGGGACCTATGTGCCTTAGGAGACCCTAACAGGGGTAATGCCCCCAACAACACAAATTCCAGGTTCACAGGGACATGCAAACCCCTTCACCACCATAAGGTGGCCATTCATTTGGGGCTCAGCAGGATTGTGGGCCGGACCGTCGTGGTGAAGAGGGAACTACGCTGGAAGATTAAACCTACGATTAACCGGTCGATCTTCGCTCCAACCCTCAGCTGTGGTCATGAACTTCAGGAAGGAGAAACTTTTCATCCAGTCAAAATGTGTTACAGTTTTACACTCTTCCTCCCCCTCTCATTCTCACCCTCCCTCTTCCTCTCTCTGCAACCTCTTCCCTTGTTGTTGTAAAAAAAAAGGTGCTCACTTGTGGTCTTTTCATAGTGCTTACTTCCTGATCGAAGTGATAACAATTAACCATTGAGGTGTTTGGCTAATTAGCTCATGTCGTGTCATTTTGAATGGCAGTGTTCTGAAATTGCAAACATGTGACTTTATGTCAGATTGTTGTGTCTTATGCAGAGAACCGTGTTCAGTGCATTTAAAAAGTCTCATTTTGAATTGCAAAATGTGTGTAAAGCAGAAAATGTGTTTAGACTTCTGGAGACTTGAGAAGAGGTTTTGCTCTGTGTGTCAGTTTACATAATTGTGCTATGCACGTCATTTTAGTGTGTTAGCAATTGGAAAAAACTGTAATAACTATATTCCCGTCCCTGTTTTCTTGAGCTGCTGTAATGCACAAATTTCCCCCACGGGGGATCAATAAAGTTTATCTTTATCTTTATCTTTATCTGCAAATATTTCTGTGCATGTGAATAATCTGAAGAATTTTCTACAATTCGAACTATTTTAGTATTATGGCAAAGCATACTAAAGATGAGAGTGCTTTTCATTATGCCCAACAGTGTGTAGATGGTTAGACAAAAATCTGGTAATATGAATGAAGTGTGGTGCCATTTGGTGCAAAAGTTTGATTTTGATAATGCTATATGTAGTTTTGGTTGCAGTGCTTCATTTTGCAGGATATATGAGGTATTTTGCAGTTTGGGTGTGTATTTTGATAAAACCAGCATAGTTTGCAAAATTGTTTTTTCGCAGTGGGAAAAAACTGTAAAGCAACACCTTTATTAAAAATGAAAGAAATAGTCAAGAATATTATAAAAACTCTGCAGTAGAAGAAGAAAAACAAGTCAGTCCTCGTGTCATACAGAGTTTATTAAAAACAAAAAAGCTTTAAAATAAGAAATGCAACATAAATCCTCAAACACATCTTTCCTTTAATACAATCATCTTTGCCTTTGAATCAACACAAAAATAAAAGTTAAAAGTTAACATCTTTAAAACGACACAGAAAAAAAGAGAAACAGCGGACCAGCTTCTCTCCCACACAAGTGTTCCTGCAACCGCTTCAGAGACCACTCCACTACCAAGCAGAGGTAAGCTGCTCCACTGTTTGTCCCCACTACAGTGCACCTTGTGTTACTGAACATTACCCGACACACAGTCAGCACTCCAGCTTCCGTCCAGTTTTAGTGCACGACTGCAAATATTGTTTATCTTGCTAATACTCTACCTTTGGTGATAAAACCAATCTAACAATGATTGAACACAGATGAGTCAAAACATGTAAAACCATACACAAAACATTACAAAGGTTATTCTCTTCTTATGGTCACATTGCTGTAAGATTTTACATTCCCCACAGTCTTATAATATACATATCAAATATTTAATACGTCTTAAATGAGCACATCTTTTTAGCCAGTCGGAGGAGTTCTGACCCCGGTGTAGATCGTCTCTTCTGTTGCTGCTTTGACTTTTCTCTTCTCTCTTTTGTCCATTCTAATCTTAGAAAAAGTCGGTGCATAATAAACCAACGAGTCCTCAGCGCTCTGAGAAAATAACAAAAAACAGTTTGAAGTCAGTATGCTGTTGATAAAGCTGTGCAGAGTATGTATCATGAATTTAGTTTCAACAGCAACATGAGGGTGAAACTTTTGACCTGCGAGAAAGTTTGCATGAGCGCTATAAACGACCAACGGTATAAAGGACCAACGGTTAACGGGTGGACAACTTTCTCGCCGTGCATCAGTCAAAGTCTGCCTAAGTAGTTCTGACAAATAATGTTAGCATGCGTTGCTAACTCATCAGGGGACAGTAAAGTTATTCGTACAACATCAGGTCATTATATGGTAATGTCAGCTACCTGAGAAAAAATAGGATGAGCCTGCAGATATTTCTATAAACTTATAAAAAGCAAAACAATATTCCAACAAATGATTCTCGTTGAATCTTTTCTGAAGTATCTCACCTGCTGGCGTCGTCGATCTGCTGCAGGATGTGTTTGCAGAACTTCAGCAGCTGTGATATCAATTAAAAACAAAGATGTAAGTGTTTAATTTACACAAAGATATAAAGTTAATATTTGCTCAATACTTTATTTATTTATTGGAGATAATGTTCTGTTACCTTTGCTGGACTCACACGATTTAGTCTTGATGATATGAATCAGGAAAGCTATAATAATCAAGCTTATAGCCAAAGCAGCTGATAACAGAAACAGAGCTATTACGGCCGTCTGATTGTCGGCTCCTGAAAACATATAAAAACATATTGTGTTTCAATATGATAATAAGATGTTTCACTAAAATCTTCCAGGTGGATTCAACTGTTTGAAAATGAATGTTAAAAAATGATTCATATTGAATGCTGTGCAGTTACCTTTGATGTCAATCTTTGTCCCATTTCCAAACAATATCTCTCCACATGCGGCCACAGCACAGAAATAAGTCGAGGCGTCGGAGGAGTTGACGGTCTTTGAGAAGCTGTAGACACATTTCTGTGGAGAGTGAGCCTCTGGACTCTCCTCACATCCTCCAGGTCTGTTTCCATGAGTGTAAATGACACTGGGATGATTTTCATCTGATCCGGCTCTGAACCAGAACACTCTGTGTTTCCCTGGACATGTGTTGTTTTCAGACTCAGAGAGAACAGAACACTGCAGAGTCATCAGGTCTCCTGGGTGGACTGGATCCTGTGAAATGTCTTGAACGACTGAGGTGATACTGGGCTCTGGTCCTGAATAAATTCAACACAAAGTAAATATGCTGGATTTGTTAAAAATATTCAAAGTAGCTGCAGTTTAGAATTAAGAGAAAAACATCCTAGAAAGTATGCTGTATGTTTTTTCCTTATTCAGGGGACATTTGGTTGACTGCTCTCATAAATGGTGTTAGGTATTATTTTAAAGGAGTTGAAGTGCATTTTATTTACCTTTAATCTGCAGAAATGTTCCTTTTAAAACTGTCATTTTAATACTCTCTCGTTTCACACAAAAGTAAAGTCCAGTGTCCCCGAGTTTTACTCCATTAATAATCACCACAAACGTTCCAGGCTCTTTTTTTGCTGTGAATCCAGGAGTTTCTTCAACAAGGTCAGAATCAATGGCATTGGTTCCGACCAAAACCTCAGGCAAATCACCAGAAACGAGCCGGAGCCAGAATAATTGTGTTGAATACCAAGAAGCATCACGAGGACACGTCAGAGTCACATCATCTCCAACACCAACAGTCTTTGTCTCAAAGTTCTCATAGATGGTGCATCCTGAAGAAAATAAATATATGTCAGTGTTTAACAACAGAGAAAGATCATGTATGCTCTGTGCTAAAAATAAAACATATTAACCCTTAAAAGATCAGAATTAGACGAGAAGATTGGACAAAAACTTACGAGCAAGTGTGAGCGTCAGTAGAAAAACAAGAACAGACTTCATTTTCTCCTTCGTCCACTTAATACAGCAGTAGAATGAACTCGTATGAGAAGCTGCTTCTCCTTCATAGAACCATATAAAGTAGGAGGGAACAATCACAGGGCAATCTGATTGGCCCTTCATTATGAGGGTATTACTTTACAACCACAGTGGAAATTTTTTTGACCGTCTTTCAAGCTAAAGCACATGAAACAATAGAAGCAGCAAGCTTCTGTTTCAAGTTTTCATGGTGGGTTTCTGTACCTGCTGCTGAGCGGAAACACACTAACTACAGTTTTCTTCAGTATTTTTTCAAACTCAACCAGTGGTTCGTGAAAGCATCAACTTTCCCATTTTGGCAAATACGATGATGGATCTTTCGAACCAGAAGTGACCATATTTGGATCTGGATGTGGATACACATTAGTCCCTTACATGCAGCAGTACCCCCCTCTCTGTGTGTGGTTTAACATCCTTTTTGGAGTGTTCTGTGAGTGTGTGGAGTCACATGTCTAGCGAGTGGTCCCTCCCCTAAGGTATATAAGTGGCTGAGACTGAGTGATCTGTTTCGTCTTTTTCTTAGCGCTTGAGTGTGCACTGATGAGTCAAACAATCCCCACTGCTGGTGACCAGTCTACTGGGAGCTGCCGGATATTATCTGGTCTGCTGGGGCCCGCAGAGGTCTTGCAGTGCCATTGGCGTGGGAGTCCGCCCCCTGGATGAGATGGCCTGCGAGTTTCGCAGTCAGGGAGGATCCTGTTGTTCCCTGCCCTCATTCCACACCAGGGCGGAGAAGCAGCAGACCCCAAATCTTTGAGGACTCCAGTCCACTTGTGCCTCAACTTCAAAGGTTCACAGACCAGGGTGTTTTTAGGCCATTTTAGGAGTGAGAGTCACCACCATGGTGGCGGGGCAACGTTCTGCTCCCCCCTCATCCAGGGACCTGCTGACAGCCTGACAGTATTACGACGTCATGTACAAGAGGTATTCGTGCTTAGGCACGGTTAGTCTTGTGTAGTGTGACCGCGGGCCTCGCCAGAAGGCAGGGGAATGGCGCAGTGGGGGGGCAATCGTGCTTGGGTACAGCACGGTACGGATGGCGAGTGTGACCGCGCCCTTAGAGACCGTAGGTACCACGAGCAGGTCTGATAACTGAAGGCTCTACCTCCCGTAGTACATTTAGAGACTGTAGGTACCACGAGCAGGCCTGATAACTGAAGGCTCTACCTCCCATAGTACATTTAGAGACCGTAGGTACCACGAGCAGGCCTGATAACTGAAGGCTCCACCTCCCATAGTACATTTAGAGACTGTACTTAGGCTTGCATTCTGGGAGCAATTTAAAACAAAGATGTAAACGTTTAATTTACACAAAGATATAAAGTTAATATTTGCTCAATACTTTATTTATTTATTGGAGATAATGTTCTGTTACCTTTGCTGGAATCACACGATTTAGTCTTGATGATATGAATCAGGAAAGTTATAATAATCAAGCTTATAGCCAAAGCAGCTGATAACAGAAACAGAGCTATGACGGCCGTCTGATTGTCGGCTCCTGAAAACATATAAAAACAGGGGACATTTGGTTGACGACTGTCAAAAATGGTGTTAGGTATTGTTTTAAAGAAGTTGAAGTGCATTTTATTTACCTTTAATCTGCAGAAATGTTCCTTTTAAAACTGTCATTTTAATCCACTCTTGTTTCGCACAAATGTAAAGTCCAGTGTCTCCGACTTTTACTCTATTAATAATCACCACAAATGTTCCAGGCTCTTTTTTTGCTGTGAATCCAGGAGTTTCTTCAACAAGGTCAGACTCAATGGCATTGGTTCCTCCCAAAACCTCAGGCAAATCACCAGAAACGAGCCGGAGCCAGAATAATTGTGTTAAATACCAAGAAGCATCACGAGGACACGTCAGAGTCACATCATCTCCAACACCAACAGTCTTTGTCTCAAAGTTCTCATCGATGGTGCATCCTGAAGAAAATAAATATATGTCAGTGTTTAACAACAGAGAAAGATCATGTATGCTCTGTGCTAAAAATAAAACATATTAACCCTTAAAAGATCAGAATTAGACGAGAAGATTGGACATAAACTTACGAGCAAGTGTGAGCGTCAGTAGAAAAAACAAGAACAGACTTCATTTTCTCCTTCGTCCACTTAATACAGCAGTAGAATGAACTCGTATGAGAAGCTGCTTCTCCTTCATAGAACCATATAAAGTAGGAGGGAACAATCACAGAGCAATCTGATTGGCCCTTCATTATGAGGGTATTACTTTACAACCACAGTGGAATTTTTTTTGACCGTCTTTCAAGCCAAAGCACATGAAACAATAGAAGCAGCAAGCTTCTGTTTCAAGTTTTCATGGTGGGTTTCTGTACCTGCTGCTGAGTGGAAACACACTAACTACAGTTATCATTAGTATTTTCCACTCGGTATAAAAGAAGCATACGTATGAACACTGAAGTCAACCAGTGGTTTGTGAAAGCATCAATTTTGAAGCCAAAGTATTTGAACGAGGATGTCGACACACATTGTCTGGTTGAGCTGCACGTGCCCAGGAAAATCTCAGAATCTATTTGTCTGGTCTGTTCTTGCTGTCCCCCAAAACACTTGAAGACAAATGTTATATCAAGACGCTTTACAGAGAGCAGGTAAAGACGTTACTCATTGTTATGTTACAAAATAATATTAGGATAGACTACCTCCCATAGTACATTTAGAGACTGTAGGTACCACGAGCAGGCCTGATAACTGAAGGCTCTACCTCCCATAGTACATTTAGAGACTGTAGGTACCACGAGCAGGCCTGATAACTGAAGGCTCTACCTCCCATAGTACATTTAGAGACTGTACCACGAGCAGACCTGATAACTGAAGGCTCTACCTCCCATAGTACATTTAGAGACCGTAGGTACCACGAGCAGGCCTGATAACTGAAGGCTCTACCTCCCATAGTACATTTAGAGACTGTACCACGAGCAGGCCTGATAACTGAAGGCTCTACCTCCCATAGTACATTTAGAGACCGTAGGTACCACGAGCAGACCTGATAACTGAAGGCTCTACCTCCCATAGTACATTTAGAGACTGTAGGTACCACGAGCAGGCCTGATAACTGAAGGCTCTACCTCCCATAGTACATTTAGAGACCGTAGGTACCACGAGCAGACCTGATAACTGAAGGCTCTACCTCCCGAAGTACATTTAGAGACCGTAGGTACCACGAGCAGGCCTGATAACTGAAGGCTCTACCTCCCATAGTACATTCAGAGACCGTAGGTACCACGAGCAGGCCTGATAACTGAAGGCTCTACCTCCCATAGTACATTTAGAGTCCGTACTTAGACCTGCATTCTGGGAGTGTAATGTTCTTGAATGGTAATACAACATTATCAGCTCTTTAAGATAAGATTTTTCCTGATCAGAGCTTTGTAAGAGAGGAAAGGATTTTAAATTATATTCTAGATTTTATTGGGAGCCAGTGCAAAGAAGCCAATAAAAGAGAAATGTGATCCCTTTTCCTCGTTCTTGTCACTACAGCTGCAGCATTTTGTACTATTTGAAGAGTCTTCAGAGACTTACCAAGGTAGCTGTCTAGTGTGCAGCCAGCCTTATTTTATGAAGCCATAAACTCCCACTACATATCTCTTGTTGAGGCCAAACAGAGCAGGTACAAACCAGTGAGAGATTAGCACCTCCCCTCTGGCTGGTGAAAAACACAGTAAAAACAATTTTTTTTCAATCTTTATTTACACTCGAGACATCATTGAGGGGCGGACTAGACTTTAGGGGTGGAGCATGCTTGAGCAAAGTACAGATTGCCTAGTGTGAGTGCGCCCTCAAACCTGACTGATATGGGCTCATGATTTTGGTTCTGGAAAGAAAATCTTTAAACTAGTCATTTATTAAGAATTCTATATTGTTTGGCCTGTAATTATTGAGATTACCCTTGTCACCTCCCTTATGTAGGACCAGGTGAGGGGTTTGTGGAGCATGCTCAA